TTAGCTCAAATTAGTTAGGTTTTATATATTATAATCTTGTAATAATTTATATATACCCACCTATATTAAAGAAGATCCTTAAATATATATATATTTTTTTGTAATTCAGCTATCCCAGCCTTGGTTTATTTAAGACTAAATCATTCAAAAAATTTTTACAAATTTCTATCTATGATTATCTAGTCTAACCAAAGCAAAGGCTCATCAACATTATACCAATATATAAATGCCAACACAATCTGCCTCAGTAGCACTCGGCCTCCTTCTGGGTCCCCAACTTGCTAGAGACTTTTTTCTCATCAGTTAACGGCTAGTGGCTACACGCTTATTAAGAAGCAAAAAAAACAAAAAGAAACATTCAAGCACTAAAAAAAAATATAGAGATATAGGGGGAATGATAAAATATATAAAACAAGAAAGAAAAGAGGATAAGGAAATAACGAAAAAAGAAAAAACAAACTTGCATTCTAATACCACAATTATAAGCCTATGTTAGGCTTGTAAAAATTATATACTACTAAACAAACTAGTCTCTATACTAAATCTATCTAATTAGTATACCTAAGTAAAAACCTATAGGAAAAACAACTTCATCAACTTAAATCTGAATACTTCTCCTTTCCTATGTGAGATTAAACAGAGGGTTCACTACTATGGTCAACTAGCCATCATTGGAAGCTACTTCTTCGAGTCTGTCGCATTAAGTCTTTATTCTCTGATAGATGATATCCAGATTGTAGAGATGTCAGGGTATGTCTTGGAGCATTGTTTGTACAAATTGTTGATATATTCGAGGCATGTGTATTCATGTATTTGTTGTCACCGATTTAATTTGTGAGATAAACAATGCTAACTAATTTGATATACGTTATATTGATCTTTTGGAGAGGGTAAACTGAAACACCCACTTTTTACAAAAAATTTCTCAAAAAAAGTGGTGAGTCAACAAGTAGATGTGAGGTTCTTCTTGTAAGTTTTATAGTTGTATAATCTAGCTTCTAGGTTTCTTCTAAACTTGGTAAAAGCCTAGCTACTTTCTGTTTTCAGAATAAACCTTTTGGTTTGGATGCCAAATATCTTAGGGAGTCCATCAGAAGAAGAAACTTAACCCTAAGAAATCTGCCAGAAAATGCCTGCTTCTCGGTATATCACATTTGACTTAGGCTTCGTCAACAACAGTCTACTTAATGTAGAACCAAGAATAGTGTCTACTTAGTTACTTTCTTATATATTTTGCTGTAGTTCGGTTTTATTGTTGTTAACCAGAGAATCGTTGGAAAGAGTTTTAAGATTTATATTTAAATACATATATTATTTAGTAATTAATTGTTATTTGTACTATATATTATGAGATATTATTTTATTAAAATTTAATTTCTTTAACCAGTGAAAATTATCACTAACAATCGATTATTTTTTAAATTAAGCAATATAAGTTAACTGAAAATAAAGCACCCAAAAAATACCAAAAATCAAAAGGGTTTAAAAAACCTCTGTAGAAATTAAATCTAGAAGATTTGGATCAATTTATTCAAAAAATATAAATAAATTGGACTCATTACAGGTTGATGGTTTTTATAATCTGTTAAATGGTCTTAATGAATTTTTTGAAGAGGAATTACTAGTGTCTATTCACAATGATCATCAATTAAAATTTTTTTTCAGCAGCATTAGAAAGTACTGATATAATTCATGCTTCATCTAATTTTCATGGTAAACTGATATTTTCTAATATCATTATTAGCAGTGAAGTTAAAAAAAAAATATAAATTGGTATGGTTTGGTAAAAATTATTTTAATATATTATATTTTTCATAATATTCTAACTTAATAATATCAACAATAAGTGATATATAACGTAAATTAGGATATTAACTTTCTAGCTTTTTATTTAATTTGATATTAATGTTAAATTTTTTTCTTATAGGTACTGTTAATATTTAAGTTTTATGTAGCTTTAGATAAAGAACTACTTGAGTTCACTCATTTTTGTTGGTATAAGGAGAATAATTAATTATGGAATTGTCCAAGATTAAGATTAGTTAAACAATATAGTTGTATACCAATAAATAGTATCAATAAAACTATACATATAGTTTCAAGATTTGACAAAACAAATGAATATTTAATAAATAGTTTTATGTTCTAAAATTTAACAAGTATATTATAAAATCAAGTATATTTAATAGTTATGAGGCATGAAGTGCCAAATAACTGAGGTATTTGCAGAATGTGATTTGATTGGTCGATTTTAAGCACCGAAGGTGCGCAAAATTCAGACAAGCAGATCACATGCGCAAATACCGGTAAGGTACAATTCGCATTTTTACGAGTGTCTTGAGTCTCGAATACTGGCAAGGTGCGATAGCGCCTTGCCAGCATCGAGACTCAAAGCACTCGTAAAAATGCGAATTGTACTGAAGTTATGAGGCACTTGTGCCTCATAACTGTTTTATCTGGCAAATTAAATTTTTCTTATTAAAAGTAATTTAATATTACCAAAATTTAACAGATCACAAATCGCATCATTTATCAATTGTAAAAATATAAATATAAGTAGATTTTTTTTTTTTTTACATTCTTTCTTCCTCAAATATGAGTAAACATTCTAATTACCTACCTTCTAATGACCAACTTGCAGCACTCGCTAAAGGATGTGTTCCAAAAAATACTATTAAAAATACAGAAGGATGGATTAATATTATAAAACAGTGGCGGTCAGATATTAATTATAATGAACCACTAGAAAGTCAAGACAAGAAAATGATTGAACTTCAAGTTTCTCAATTTTTATGTGGTGTAACAACTAAACAAGATCAATTTTATTTACAAACATCGTTAAAGAATGCTTTATCAGCAATTAATCGGCATTTTCAAAATATCAAACCTGGTTGGCGATATAACTTACATAATAAGAATGACTTTCCTGACCTGTATGCCCGATTTGATGGTTTACTGAAAGACATGAAAAAAAAGGGACTTGGTGAATCCAAATCTACGGATGGATTAACTACTGAAGAGATTTGGCATATATTGAATCATGAAATTCTGGATCCAAATACTCTTTTAGGATTATTAAAACGGGTTTTTTTCTGGATTTCTATTTTAGGTGCTGCAAGAGGCAGTGAACACGCCAACTTGCATGTATCACAAGTTGTAGATACATCTGATGGTATTATATTAAAAAAAGCCCAACAAAAAAATAACCAAGGCGGTATAGAAGGAAATCAGGTTGACTTAATTATACCTTTTTCATCTGATCTAGAAGGTACTGTAGGGCCGAATTCTGATATAAGAAAGTATCTTTCTTTTCGCCCTAAAAATTTTCAAAGTTCAAGTTTTTACTTTTCTGCTTGTTGTAGTCCAGATGGTAAGCATAACACTAATTATTTATATTATATTGTTTTATTAACATATACAATCAATATTTATTAATAATTTATATTAAAGCTATTGTAAAAGGAAAATAGTATTTAGACAAACCATTGACTGATCATACAATCCGTTCAATGTTTAAAATGATTTGCATCGAATGTGGAATTAATATCGAATCAAGAAATATTAGTAATCATTTCGGTTGAAGAACTAGTATTATGGAGTTATTTAGTGTTAGAGTTCCTGAAAATACTGGCCATGCAATCAGTGGGCATAAATCTTCTGGTGGATACTATGCTTATGCCAAACCTACAGATGAACATAAAAGAGAAGCATTAGGAAATGTTCTTAACAAACTAATTACT